CCGTCGCACCCAGTCCCGGGCGCGCCCGGTGCTGGCGGCGGCCGGCCGGGGCTGACCAGTTATCTTCTCCGCAGGGCCGCGGCGAGAGGACCGGAGTCCAGCTTCGCCAGGAGCCGTGCCCGCCGCGCCCGAGGGGATGGAGGGCTGCCCCAGAAGCCCCAGCGCGCCTCGCGACCCCGCGCTGGCTGGCCGCCTCTAGCTGCTTGAGCAGTGCGTTTTATCCACCACCTCCTAGGCCTTGTTCCTTGATCTGGTGGCGTCGTGATTGGAAAGAAATGGAAGAAAAGGAGCGATGTGACCTATTCCGATCGGTCCTCCTGCAGTGAGGCCTGGTTGGCATTTGCAGAGAGGAAGACACAGCAAGGAAATCTTGTCTTTCTGGAGGAGGGTGAGGAAAGAGCAACAAGATCTTATATTTTATATGATTTTTTAAAAACCGTGCACTTTGACGGTGGTGGCGATATAAACTAGTCCAAAAATTATTTTTCTATTGAGAAGAGAGAAGAGTTGGATTTTTTTTTCCCTTTTTGATTCCAGCCTTTTCTCCCAGTGACAAAGCATAAGTCATGGACACCAGAGAATAAGGTGGACCTCAGGAATCCTGAAAAGACTGAGAAGCTCCCATCTTCCTCAGCAGGGAAGAGTGTGGTGTTTTCAGCCCTCTCTGGAACCTAAAACAAAAAACATGAGTTGCGTGCCATGGAAAGGAGACAAGGCCAAATCTGAATCCTTGGAGCTGCCCCAGGCAGCACCCCCACAAATCTACCATGAGAAGCAGCGCCGGGAACTTTGTGCCCTCCATGCCCTCAATAACGTCTTCCAGGACAGCAACGCCTTCACACGGGAAACGCTGCAAGAGATTTTCCAGAGGTAGGGCACTACTTCTTGGCATCCTGATGCCCACTTGGTATTTCTGATTTTGCGTGGGTGGGGCAGTGTCTCTGGTACATAAATCTTCAAACCTGCAGGTATTAACTAGGTGTGGTCAGGAGGTACAAAGGATGCAGGAATGGGAAAGAGAATAACTTCCATTTGTGACTTTGTGTTTTGTTTTATTTTGTTTTGGAGACAGGGTCTCATGTAGTACAGGCTGGCCTAAAACTCACTATGTAGCCCAGGGTGGCCTCGAACTCACAGCAATCCTCCTGCCTCAGCCTCCTGAGTGCTGGGATTACAGGCATGTGCTACCACCCCTGGCCACTTCCATTTATGGACCATTTCCTGAGGCCTTAGTTGTGTTCTTTCAAGAGGTCTGTTCGGTAACTTCATGGAATCTATTGTACACACAAACGCACTTGTGCACTTGCATGTCATTATTTCCATTTTATGGATGAAGATAGCATTCAGCAAAGTGCAGTAATGTGGCCACGGTAGTATAATAAGCATTGGAGCCAGGGCTGTGATCAGATTTGTGTGTCTGTTGTTGACCTTTATGTTAAAATGTTGCCCTCTCAAATCCTGCTGCCGACTTTACAGTCTAGAAGGGGAACAAGATCATGTCCACAGTCACCTGTCACCAAAGGTTGAAATGTGGTAGGTACCACAAGAAAGACGTACACACAGTACCCAGTTTTTCTGTGAAGCCACATGCTGGCCTTGGTGCATTTTATACATTGTTTTGTGTGGTTCTCTCTCAACAGTCATTTTACTGATCAGGAAATGGGTAGAAAGGTCAATAATTTATCCAAGTATCTCGTAGAGAGCAGAGCTGTGATTTGAAGCTGACTCCAGATCCCTGCGCACCCCCTTTCCACTTTATGCTAGATAGCCTTTCTTATCCACTTGAATGCCACGCCACGAGTAGATAGAAGTTCAGCTTTTTCTTTGCTTTGATTTTCTAGGGTTTTTTAAAAGCAGGGTTTGGGGCAGGCGTGGTGGTGGAGGCCTGTAATCCCAGCACTCTGGAGGCTGAGGCAGGAGAATCGTGAGTTCAAGACTAGCCTGAACTACAAAGTGAGCCCAAGGCCAGCCTGAACTGCATAGTGTAACCCTGACTCAAAAAGACTGACTAAATAAATAAATAAATAAAGCAGGGTAAGAGAATTTGTTCAGCAGTGTTTGGGTGGACCCAGAGCATGTCTGCAGTCCACAGCAACCTTGGCCATGAGCCTATCTGATCACTCCAGCCAGAAGGGGTTAGGCTTGCCCATTCCTCAGGGCAGGGAAAACTCGAGAAGTCTTTAAGCAGAGCACATTGACACTTCTAGAGGACACTTTTTTTTTTTTTTTTTTGATTTCTTTACTTAGAAATGAAATTACTACAGCACAGGAACCTGAGTCACAGCCAGAATCAGTCACAGCATATGTGAAGAATAGGTGTGGACCGCTTTCCTTGGAGGAACCATAGGCTTTCTTTTAAAAGAATGTTAATTTGAGCATGCTGACAGGACTGTAATGAGAGTAATTATTTCCTAATGCCGGTAATACCCTGAGTAGTGCCTTTGCCTTAGCAGAGCAGATGTGTTATTTGCATCGTGGGCATTGGGCAGCAAGTAGATGCACTCTGCAGGAAATGGGGCCCTGGGAGGTAAGAGCACGTGTCTCAGATCACCAAATCACGTACCAGGACGACCCAGTCCCTTGAACTGTTTCTTTTTGACCAGCCATTAATTTTTCTTCTACACCTAATTAGATATTTGCAGATTATTTCCTAATCTAATACTAAGAGGAATACAAGGATTCATAGTGGGTATTTGAGTGTGCTTTATTCTTCACAGTATATGTTGATGATCCTGAAACAACCTGAGGAAATAAGACTCAGTTTAAGTGATTTTGCAGAGTTTTATCCACTAATGAATCAATGTCAGATGTAACAGTTCTCTGTAGAGTCACACTGAGGAGAAGTCTTCTGTAAATTTGGCTCCTCATCTAACAAGGGGAATGATCATGAGATGATTAACACAGGAACACTTAGTGCAAAGCACTGTTCTGAGTGCTTCTCTTGTGCTAATTCAGTCTTCATACCAAGTGGGGGGACGGGGGCAACTCTGTTGTTTGCCTTTTTTTCCAGACAAGGAAGTCATGGCACAGAGGGTGCAGAGAGCTGTTCATGACAGGATTGGACTCAAGGTTTGTGGCTGCAGGGCCTGTCTCTTGGTTTCTGCAGACTGGAAAGGCTTGTCTGAGCTGTTGTATCAGCAGCAGCTGGTCATGCTGCTAGTACCTATAGCCGGGACTGAAGATGTAGATTGTGATTATTGAGTGTTTCTGAATAATAGCAGTTTTCAGCTGGGGTTTCCCTGAGTGAAACATTGATTAATACCTGCTAAACATCCACGTGGAACCAGGGACCTGTTCTTTTTAAAGCTTTTGTTTGTTTTTTGTTTTTTGAGACAGTCTTACTGTGTAGTTCAGACTATCATCAAACTCCCAGCAGTCCTCTTGCCTCAGTTTCCTGAGTGCCCTTTAAAGTTTGTACAAATTGTGCTGTTCTCCTCCATTCTTGTCAGTACCATATAAAGATCCACCTGAGAATAAAAATAAACCAGTACATAAAAGAGAATTCTGGAAGTAAAATTCTGTATAGAGCATTTTATATGGAAAGATTCTGTATGTATAGGTAGGAACAACAGCATGGGAGAAATACACAGGAAAAAGCAAAGGGAGAAAAGGTGAGAGAGAGAAGATGGAATTTTTAAAACAAACATTGGGCAGCTGCTTGTGCCAGGCACCACAAAGCACTGCAGAGAAAACGAGCTGAACAGGACGTCTCAGAGTTATACCTTGAGCAGGCCTTACAAAAGATTTGGGTGAAGAGAAAACTATGGCATTAGGAGCCATTTAGAAGTGGAAAAAGGATTCTCTCATCAGATCTTTGATGGAAAAAAAATAAAGCTGTCAAGTGTAAGAACTAGAAGTTCTCTGCAATTTTGAAGGCGTGACTAATGAGTGGTAGAAATGGGAAGAAATTGTTGATAAGTGCTATTTTGTTGAGAGGAAGTTCATCTAAGCAGTTGAATTTTAGCCAGCTAGCAGAGGAGAAATTGCACCCAGCTAGCAGGGTGGAGTTTCAGTAGAGTTGTGGATATGAGATGACTCACTTGGAGGAAAAATGAGTAGGAACTTAGAGCTGAGCTGATCACTGGCCAGCAGTAAGGGACAAGGAAGAGAAAAGTCGGTTGTGACCAAGGCTGGGTCCCGGAGGAAGGCTCAGAGACACTGGACCAGTGTCATCAGCGATGTTTACTGCAGACAGTTTACCACATAGGTATCTAAGCTTTGAAAATGGAGGGTAGTAGAAATGATACAGGAGCAGCTTGGCTAGGTGGGTTTGAAAATGCTCAGGGCTCAAACATTTTGCAGGACCCACCCCAGTCAGTGATGATACTTTCTTGGAGCTAACTATGCATTCTTCTCCCAAATAGACTGTTACAATCTAATTAGATGAAAACTAGCTTGGTTGGGGGAGGGTAGTAGGAGTTTTCAGCTGGGTTTCCTTGAGTGAAAGATTGCTTCATATCTGCTAAACATCTACATGGAACCAGGAACTAGTGACAATTGGCAGGAGCAAAGAGACTAGGGATATTGTTGTGCCATAAAGGGTAGGCACTCCAGCTTCTCTGTTAGAGGTCTCTGGGCAGGTAGGGGAGACCACATTTAAATGATTGGTAGTTACAAGTTGAGGAAAAGATTTGAATATTTTGTCTAAGAGCTGGGAAAACATAGTAATAGTAGCTAACCCAGAGTACTTACTTAGCTGGCTCTATAATCTGTGCTTTATTTAGAAACATCAGGATGCCAGATGTGGTGGTGCATGCTTGTAATCCCAGCTACTTAGGAGGCAACAGGATTGCAAGTTTGGGGCTAATCTGGCAATTTAGTGAGACCTTGTCTCAAAAACAAAAACAAACAAAAAAGGCTGGGGTGTGTGTGTGTAAGAAATACTTTTTTTTTTTTTTTAAAGCTGGGATGCAGCTCTGACTAACACTTGTGAGACCATTGGTTTAACCCCAATATTGGGAGAAAAAAAAATCTTGAAATTATGAGCTGTATTTTCTCCCTCCCTCCCTCCCTTCTCCTTCCCCTCACCCTTTACAGTACTGGGGATTTCTTTTTGCAGTGCCTGGGATTGAATCTACGGCCTTTGCACTGAGCTGTATCCCTAGCCCTCTTTTTTAAAATTTTTTTTTTTTAAATTTTTACTTTGAGGCACAGCTTTTGCTCAGTTGCCCAGGCTAGGTTCAATGCAATCCTTCTGCCTCAGGTTTCTAGAGAATTGAGCCACACTTGCTAATGTCACATCTCTCAGACCTAATAAAAAGGAAATCGGGGAGGAAATGAACCTGAAGTGCCTCCCCATCTCCCTTTCATAAAAATTCAAAATCATCATAGCCAGGTGCACTAGTAATCAGGAGAGAGTTCCAGGGACCTAAGCTGAGGATGTGGACATTGGTGGAGACTTGGACTAGAGCCATTGTAGATCACTTCAGGTTTTCTGGCTCTGACCTATGTGATGACAGACTTGAGAGGCTTGCTTTAGAGCCCAAATTTTATGTGGAGATCAGTGAGGCAATCTTGAACAGGCATTTGCCAAAAAAAACTTCCCATAGGAACCAGAATGGGATCTCATAGAATTCACTGGAACCAGAGAACTGTTCAGTCTTTTCGTGGGTTTAAACCCTAGCTCTGCCACCCACCAACTGTGCATGACTGTGCAAGTCACAGTAACCTTTGTACCTCAGCTTCCTTATTTACAGAATATCAAGATTGCTGGGAGGATTAAGCGACAAAGTTCATGCAAGCAGCTAACACAGTGGACATCTGATTGTTAGTAAAGTATAAGCAAGTGCTTGTGTGGTGCACCTGGGGGGGCCCCCTCCCAAAAAAAAGACCACCCTCAAGGCTGGGATGGAAACTATTCTCAAGCATTCCCTGTCTGGAGAGGTTTAGACGTGTTTCATCGGGTGCCAGTGCCTAACTGAGAGATACAGAGTGAAAGAGTTTCAGGGACTTACTGTTTGGTTGTACATGTATAAAATGAATTCTTCAGCAGTCCTGTAAAGTAGGAATCATTACCATTTTTATGGATCATTCACAGCAAATGTCTGGGTGGTCAGATAGGTTTGGGAACTGAAGCATATTGTGTAACAGGCTTGGAGATTAACTTTGTTTTGAGTTGGAGGTTCTCCATGTTGCCCAGGCCAGCCTCAGCTCCTAAGTAGCTGGGACTTTAGGTGTGCACCACCCCACCCGGCTTAGCGTTATAGATTAAATCTCACAGTTAGTGTAGGTGGCACTTGGATGGGAATTCAGATATGTTACTTCTCTCAGTCTCCCTTCTCGTTCACAGAGGAGCCAGGAAGGATTAGATGGAAGAGGCAGGATGTGAGGTTGAGCTTAAAGAAGCTGCAGGATTTGGCCTGGAACCAAACAGGATAAAAGCAGAGACCACATGGTCATGGTGCCTGAAGGGCACTAAGCGCCAGGAGAGCAGAACAGCAGGGCCCTATAGGGCTGGGGGATTTGGAGTTGGCTGAGCTGGCTGGTGGTGTGACTGTCAGTTCCTATGTAAGGGAATGAAGTGACACGTTGGTGACCGTGGCAAGATCATACAGGCTGAGTTAGTAGAGAGAGCATTTGGAAGCAAGGAGATCAGTGGAAGAACCTGTTTCAGAAGTCCAGGCATGGGGCTAGAGGGTCCTCCAGTTAGGGCAGAGGTAGTGTTAATACACAGGGAAGGATTTCAATCTGAGATGGAAATGAAGGCCAAGGAAGGAAGATCCTTGGAACACCAGTCCCAACAGGTGAACTTCAGAAGAAATATCTGGGTGGTTAAATATGTTTGGGAACTGAAGCACATTATGTAACTCTCTTTCCTGGAGACACAGGTAAAGATTAATGGAGAGTCTCCCAGATTTCCTGCAGGAAACCTTTTTGCTTGCTTAGTTTGTTCAGTTATGGTATTGGAATATTGGGTGCCTTACGGTTTCTGTGATACTAAGCCAGGAGGAACTAGCATCACTGGGATTGTGGCAGCTCTGCTCTAAGCTGTGCGCTTGCTGGGAGGTTGGTGGTAAGAGATAAAAGACTCAGTGTTGTCCCTATTGAGATCTTCTTCCTTGTACTAGTCAGGGACCTCATGGAAAGGAATTAGAGGTTACTGGAACGTGGGTGGGGGAAAGGAGCCTGTGAGATCTTGAGCTTGGCCTTCTTTGCCTGAGCTTTTTTTTTTGTTTGTTTGTTTTTGTTTTTTTTTCTGGTACCGGGAACCGAACTCAGGACTTTGCGCTTGCCAGGCATGCACTGTGCCACTGAGCTAAATCCCCAGCCCCTTTGCCTGAGCTTTCTCAGGAGTGTTCTAGGACACTAACGAGAGCCTTTGTCCTGCTACAGCTGTTTTAGCCCCAGGCCTTAGGGATTTGCTAATTTCCTTTTAGCAACCTCCCACTCTGACTCTTGGTCTCTTCGTGAGACAGCAAGCATAACTTGAGCTTCTGATGAACCTAAATTTGAATCCTGCTTCCGTCCTTGTAAGCGCTTAAAGGCAAGTCAGATACAATCACCAAACCTTAGGTTTCTGATTCTTTTTTTATTTTTTTGTCTTTTTGAGACAAGGTCTTGCTATGCAGTTCAGGCTGGCCTTGAGTTCACTTTGTAGGCCAGGCTGGCCTTGAACTCGCAACAATCCTCCTGCCTCAGCCTCCTGAGTGCTGTTATTACAGGCATGTGCCACCACGCCCAGCTGACAGATTTTTTATTTCTTTTTATTTTTTATTTATTTTTTTTCTTTTTTTTTTTTTTTTTTCCAGTACTGGGAATCAAGCTCACAACCTTGTGCTTGCCAAGCAGGCACTGTGCTGCTGAGCTAAATCCCCAGTCCCCTGTTTTTGATTTATAAAATAGAAATAATTCATATCCTCATAGAATTACTATGAGGTGTAAGTAAGACACATTAAAGAACTTGTATAGTGCTTAGCACAGGTTTTCAGTAATCAGTAGATACTGCAGGTAAAATAAAACATAGTTGCAGAGTGGGGTTTAGTGTCTTCTGATTCCTCACTTTTGCCAGCTCTCAGATGAACAGGTAAGCCTTTTAACTTTTTATTGGTACTAGGACTTGAACTCAGGACCTTGCGCCTGCCAGGCAGGTGCTTGTGCCACTGAGCTAAATCCCCGGCCCAGCCTTTTTACTTTTAAGCGTCAGCCACGTGTGATTGTAATCCCAGCACTCAGAAGGTTGAGGCACAAAGATCACCATGTGTTCAAGGCCAGCTTGACTACATAGGGAGACCTTGTCCCAGAAAACAACAGCAAAAAAGAGTCTACCAATATTTAGAAAGGAAGAGACAGAATAACAAAAATAAACAGAGAACATTTCAAGAAACATTCCTTGAACACCTGGTATATGCCCGGCACTCATTAGACCCTAGCAGATGATACACAGTAACTGAACAGTCCGGGCCCAGGTGTCATTCTAGTGTGGCAAACCAGGCACAGGAGGAAGCGTGTCTGGTGTGACAAAGTGCTGTAAGTAAACCAAAGCAGATGGGCAGTGAGGAAGCAGAAGAGGAAGTGACTGGGATAAACTAAGGTTGGGTGGGAAAGTTTTTTTGTGGCAGTTACATTTGAGACCCAGATAACAAGGTGCAGAGCTCTCAGGGAGGACCATTTCCAGACAGTGGGGAGTGGAAATGTGAGTGAGTCCCAAGGGAGTGCAAGGCTTATGTATTTCAGGAACAGGAACAATGTCATGTGTAAGAGGAAAGAGCAGAGCTCAGCAGATAAAGGCATTTAGATCACATGTATATGTGTATGTACCTATGTATTTTTATTAATTTATTTTTGGTTTTTTGAGTCAGGGTCTTACTAGGTAGTATAGGCTGGCCTTTGATCTCAGTATACAGAGCAGGCTGGCCTTGAACTTGTCACCCTCTTGCCTCAGCCTCCTAAATGCTGGGGTTATAGGCATCCACCACTGTTCCTGGCTAGATTATAATTAAATTCTTTATGTATGATTGGAGAGTTTTAAGCAGTGGCAGGAGTATGTTGTATGTACAGTATGTTTGAAAAATATCGATATAGGGGTAGCAATGTAGCTCAGGGGTAGAACACTGCCTACCTAGCATGTGCAGAGGCCCTGAGTTAGATCTCCAGCACAGGAAAAGAAAAAAAAAGTCAGTATGGAGAAGGAAAAGGCATGGTAAGTTTTAATGTTTCAAGTCTGAGTTCCTTGCTGGAGATGGCACATCACGGTCTCCAGGACACCTGCTCTCCGCTTCTGTCCTGAGGAACTTGCCACATTTTCCTTCCTCTGCTTCACAGAAAGGTCAAAAGCATGCTGAACTTACCTTCAGGGGGCCTTTCTTCAGCTCCTGGCCTGACAGATCTCTGAACGCAAAATAATAGGATTGGAAATGCCTGGAGTATAGGCCATATCTTAAAGTGGAATTGCTAGAGTCCTGGCAAAAAGTGGCTAGAAGCTGAGTGGGCCAGCCAACGTGTTAGCTGAGGCTTTTTTGTCTGGCACAAATTTTTCTCAGTTAGCTGTGCATGGTGCATTCTATAATCTCAGCTACTCGGCAGGCTGAGGCAGGAGGATCACAAGTTCCAGGCCAGCCTGGGCAACTTAGCAAGACCTTGTCTCAAAAAAGGGCTGGGGTATAGTTCAGTGGTAGAGCGCTTGCCTAGCTATGGGTCTTTATTACCATATACACATGCATGCGTGCATGTGCATGTGTGGGTTTGCACACACACAGGTTTTTTCAACTGATTCCTTGTGTTTTAATTAAAATATTTTTTTCAAGTACTGTGTAGGTTTGGAATTCCTTCAGGTGGGTCATGTGTTCCAGATTAACACAAGGCCTTACTAATTTTTAGTGCCTTACATTTGCCCCCAATTCATGGATTTGTTACCTCTCTGGGCCTCTTATGCCTTTGAGTATTTAATGATTACCAAGTGTGCACCCTTTAAATAGAAAGCACTTAAACTGTAAAAAAGCAAAACAAAACAAAACAGCAGTAACCAGTTACTATCCATGCAAGTACAAGTATCACTTAGTATTTCCCACTGTTTAACAAAAGGCTTGCATCAAGGCAGGAAGATCAGTAAATACAAAGACTGCAGAGAGGCTGCAACAGGCTAGAGTTCGGTGAGTGAGACTCCTTCTTGGAACATCCTTTGTGTTCATTGACTTCACTGTAGAAGTTCTTCCTGAATGGCAAGGAGACAGGTCCTGCCCCTCCCCCAAATTGTTTTGCATAGAGAGGGAAGCAGGAGCCCAGAGGTCAGCATACTTAGATAAACCTGGAGAAACCAGCTTCCAACGCAGTGATATAAAGTGTTTTTCTCGTAGTGTAGGCGGGGAGTGGGAGTTGGCAGACCAGCAAGTCTCAGCCCTCCTCTTTTTGAATTGTAGGTTGTCTCCAAATACCATGGTGACACCACACAAGAAGAGCATGCTGGGAAATGGGAACTACGATGTGAATGTCATTATGGCAGCACTTCAGACCAAAGGCTACGAAGCTGTTTGGTGGGACAAGCGCAGGTAACGTGAACCGGGCTTGACTCGATGGAGACTAGAGGTCATGGCGCAGGCCCTGAGCTTGGGAATGGGGAGGTGGCTGCCTGTGGTGGTAAAGCCAAGTCGGGGCGGGCTCAGAGCCTGAGGCCATGTCTCTTTCACAGGGATGTTGGTGTCATTGCTCTCACTAATGTCATGGGATTCATCATGAATCTGCCCTCCAGCCTGTGCTGGGGACCACTTAAGCTGCCTCTCAAAAGGCAGCACTGGATCTGCGTCCGAGAGGTAGGGGGAGCCTACTACAACCTCGACTCCAAACTCAAGATGCCCGAGTGGATTGGAGGCGAGAGCGAGCTCAGGTAATCTCCACTGTGGCTAAGCTTCGGGGCTCCCCCCATTTGGTATTTCAGGAAAATTGGTCTCATCTGTGGTTATTTGACAAAGGAAATGATATTCCTGTGTACTAGGATCCTCTTCCTGGCTTACTTGGAATCACAGGATCTCTGACCTGAAAGACCTTTTGAGGTGGGGGTTGAGACAGGATCTCACTATGTAGTCCAGGTAGCAATGATCCTCCTGCCTCAGCTCCCAAGGGCTGGGATTATAGGCGTGTGCCATGATGGCCTGAAAGACCTTAATCAGGACTTTCTTCCCTTTCATAGGCAAGTTCCACAGTCTGGAATCCGAGCCTTCTGGGAGCTGGCATTGTAACATTCTCTCCACTGAGACAATCAGTGTCATTTCTTTGACATTCAGAGAAAGGAAGATGAACATTCAGCCAGACTGGGACTAAAGAAGTTGGTTTTTTAAAGAAGTTTATTTAGACAAGCAGAAGCCCTTTATTTTGTTTTATTCCTCAGAACCAGCTCCAGTTAGCAGTAATATATGAGGAACTCTTGGTTACTTTTCTCTCATTGCTGAGACAAAATACCTGATGCCCAGAATTAAGGAAGGAAAGGTTGATTTAGCTCACAGTTTGTGGAGGTTTCAGTCCATACTCAGCTGGCTCCAAGGTAGGGTGGCATATGGCACATGGCAGAGGGCAACTGTACATGGTGGCAGAAAACAGCAAAACAACAATAACAAAAGGGAGGCCTGGCCGCTAGCAGCCTCTCTCTCTCCCTTACATATGTAGACTACTGCCCCAGGGGCAAGTGTAGCACTCACACCCACAATCCCAGCATTGGACTATGGATCAATCATACATCTAGAAGCCTGCCCCATGACTGCATGAGGATTTGGGGGGACATGCAGATACAAACCATAACAGAGGGTGAGGAGTATTCAGGGTGGAGTTCTAACTGGACAGGTAGAGGGGAGCCACAAATAGTCAGCCACTAGAGTGTTTTAGGATTACCAAAGTATAAATAATGAGGTTTCTGCTGAATGTGTGGCCCTGAGGCTGGAATTCAGTTCAACAGCATTTTCTCTCACCTATTCCTTTCTCCGTAGGAAATTTCTAAAACATCATTTGCGAGGAAAGAACTGTGAACTCCTGCTGGTGGTACCAGAAGAGGTGGAAGCCCATCAAAGTTGGAGGGCTGATGTGTAACACAGTTCTGCCCCGCCTACCCCTTGCCCCAACCTCCAGGCCTCTGCCATGTGCTGTGGCCTCTCCCGTGGGCCTGCCCTGGCCACTTCCCCAAACATCTCATCAGGTTTCCCCTTAGGATCTGCCAGTGCAGTAGGACAGGTGTGTGGACTGTCTCAAGAACCACCCGCTGTCTATGCCTGGGGAAGGAAGGGAGGGGCCTGAGCCCCGAGGGCCAGCATCAGGAGCCGTGCTACCATCAGAGAAGGCAAGGTGGGTCCCAGCTGTTTCCCCCTCTCTCTGAGGACCTGACAGGTTCTGCTGGAGTCCCTGCTGCTACTCCAGGCTCCCCAGAGATGCTGCCACCACTTTCTCCTGCTGTGGCACCAGTGAGTCTAAAGACAGTACTTGCAAAACCCAGCGACTGCCTCCAAGGACACAGAGCATAAGTGTCTCTCAGGAAATCGTCTCCCGGACCCCAGCAGCAGTACCATGTGCCAGGCCGTCTACAGCCCTTAACGCCACCCCACCCCACTTTTACAGGAGGTTTATGGCCAGCCTTGAGCTTTATAATGAAAAGTCCTCTAATATTCCAAGCCAGGTGGCTAAATCCCACAATCTTCTAGCAAGACAAGGGCGAGATACATAGCTAAGAGGATGTGGCTTAAGCCAGACTGGGACAGGCATGGGGTGGCTTTTCTTTACTCTAGTTTTGTCCCTGCCATTTCACTACATTGATTTAGGAGGCTTTGGGGCAAACGTAAAGGAAAGTGGGTAGTTTTCATACTTTGTCCACTCTGGCAAAATCAGAAAAAATTGTGTACCCTTAATAGCACATTCTACTAGCTTGGGACAGAAGCAGGTGAGGGAAGATTATAATGTGAAGATCTGCTTCTCAGAGTTTAAGAGCAGATAGAATTGGCAGAAGTCCTGGGCTCCAAGGCTGAGTCACTGTGGTGACAAACAGCAGAGCCCTCAAGTCGGGTGGTTACGTGCACTGTTACAGGACCTGGTTTGTCATCTCCGTGTAGTCTCCTTTACAAATCACCAGATTGCCCACCCCCTACCTCTTGAAATAGTTGTAGGCCACATTTCTCCTGTGACTTTGGAAAACGAAAGGAAGTAAGTTATACCACACGTGTCACCAAAGTGGCTGTGGTTGTCTTGCGACAGGGCGGGCAGAGTGACCCAGCCAGTCCTTCCAGATCCATGGTCTCAGCAGGAATGAGGGCTGCCCCGCTGGCCAGACTCCTCTCCAGCAGCAGAGCCAGCTGGGGCTTGCATGTCAATCCTCAGCAAGCTTCACGGGGGAAGCCGAGGTTTGCTCCCCACTGTGACTGGAGTGCATGTTTACACCAGCACTTTTTCTGCACATATATCTTCACAAGGCCGTTTTCTATGCCGAGTAACAAGAGGCCCCCAGCGGCAACTGTGTTATGCCCTCTCAGCAACTGGCCGTGGTCTCTTCTGCACCATTTTCTACACCAGACTGGCTTGGCACCACAGGGAGCTGTCTACCCCTGCACAATGACATTCCAACCACACCAGCCAGGAAGTTCCAGCAAACTGCTGATTGTTTCAAGCTGAACCATGGTCCATTGGCACTGTCAGTGATAGTAAGCCATTTCCGGGGAGGAGGAAACTTCTCTCCACAAACTGCTTGGGCCTGTGCAAATGGCACTTCAGAGGAGTCCCGTGCACGTGGAGTGCACGAGCCAATGGAATATGCAAAGATGCTTCAACATTTCAGGGCTGGTTTCTCTGTTCATATCCGATTCTGGTGCTTAGGAACAGGGACCCATGCTGATGCCCAAGCGCAGAAAGCCCCCTCCTTTAAAGGGAGCAGGCCTGACCCTGATGCCCAGTAAGGGGCAACCCCAGGCTTTGTTTTTCTTGCTTTTGTTCCCTTTTTGTTGTTGTTGGCCTTGTGCTGGGTTTGTTTACAAAGATGTATTTTGTTTAACCAAATATTAAAAATGGAAAATTCCATACATGAATCTCCTTGTCTACCTGAATTACATATATATATATATCTATTTTTTTTTTTTTTTTTTTTTTTTGTCTTTTGAGACAGTGTCACTGTGCAGCTCAGGCTGGCCTCGAACTCACAAAGATCCTCCTGCCTCAGCCTCCTGAGTGCTGGGATTACAGGCATGCACAATCACGCCCAGCCTGAATTGTTATTACGTAAAAAAAAAAATGGTGTGATGCCATTTTAAAAGGAATTCATTACCATCATGTCACCTTTGAGTTACATTAAGCTCTGATTAAACTTACCTGAAAAATCCAAACAAAATATTTACTTGACTCAGAAAGTGCCCAAAGTTTTTTCTTTTCTTCCAAGACAGGGAGGATCTCACTTGGTAGTCAGGGTGGCATTCAGTCCTTGGTTTCTGCTCCAGCCTCCTGAGTGCTAGAACTAAGGCATGTGCACCCACCACCATACCCACCCACGGTGTTTTGCAGTTTACCTTAATTTTAAAAATTAGGCCTGGCAATTTGAAGAAGCCGTGAGGTAGATACAAGTTTGTACCTGCTGACGGGATCAGGGTTTGTCCTTAGTTAAAAGGTGAAAGGCCCTGCACTGGGGCCAGGCTGCCTGAATCCATACCAGGGTCTGTACTTAGAAGGCTGAATCCAAATCTAGCTCTTATTACCAGGCCTTGTGCACACTATTTTAACCTTTTTGTGGTCATTTCCTCCTCTGTTAAAGAATACTGCCACCTAAATTGCATAGTACTCTGATAAGTGATCCACATACATGGTATGTTGGATGCTCATTAAAAATTTATGGTAAGTGGAAAAACTACAAAGTTCAAAGACAGGGTTGCAGCTGGTTTCATCATCACTGATTCACCTAGGCAGTAATTTTTTAAAAACTAGGTCACAGGGGCTGGGGATTTAGCTCAGCGGCAAAGCGCCTGCCTGGCAAGCGCAAGGTCGTGAACTTGGTTCCCGGTACCAGAGAAAAACCAAAAAAAAAAAAAAAACACAAAACCTAGGTCACAAAAAAGTTCTATTTGTGAATTTCTACACTGGGGCTAGAAATCAGCACTTACTGTAAATAGTTGACAACTGTACAATGTTACTGGCCGCAAGTACAGAGAGCTTGTCTTTTGCTTTAGGTTGGTGCAGCTGAAACTGATTACTTGAATCAGGACAAAGACTGCTCCTAAAGAGGGTCATGACAAAAAAAGGAAATTTCTTTTTCATTTCTGGAAGCTCAGAATTCATTTAGGTCTATAAGATGGGTCAGTGGAGGTGGTGGTGCTGGCCTGGGTGAGGAAATCTGAGGTATTGTATGTCTCTGACCTTCTGAAATGGTTGTAATTTTGAAGGACCTGCCACAAACACATGGGTAACACTTTGAGTTGTAATAATTTTTAATTTTAAATACAAAAAGTGAGCACTGACCTTTTTTAACACACGAGTCTGATAGCCAAAATGTGCAGAGGATATGAGCCCCAGCTCTGCCCCCACAGCCCCATCATCCTCGTCTGTGGCCGAAGCTGCCAAGAACCGCCGCCTCCAACACGCACAGAGGTTCCCAGCGCTTTACAGCTGTACTGTACTGTGCCGGCTTTGTACTGTGTGCTCATCCCTCCCCAACATGGCCATTCTTGGAAAGAAAAAAATAAAAAACCAAAACCAGTCATTAATGGTCGGGGTCCGTCCCTTCCACTGGTGTCAGTTTCTACGCCATCATGGGATAGTTAGGAGCAGCTGACTAAAAGGGGTTGGGTGGCCAGAGCTGAAGTAACCGTCCGCATAGCTGCACTCTGGTATCAGCGAGGACAGAAGGAGGACAGTGAGGGCAGCGTGGAGGGCACAGCTGCAGGTTGGGATTCTCCATGAAACTTCAAAGGGAGAATTCTCCCAAGTTTAGATCAATGTGCCAAAGTTTAAAAAAAAAAAATTACAAACAATCAGCAGTTCAAACTGAGTTTGAACTTCTCTCACCAAGACAGCTCAAATGTTATCAGTTAATAATCTAGATCTTTCCAGGAAGTGAAGGTAGAGCCCCTGGCATTCCTCCTGAGATCCCTGTGTTAGGCCCTAGAAGTATCTGGAAAAGAAAAAGAGGAGTAAGACACTGTATAGGCCTAGGCGTGTCACTTTCACCAGGCCTGATGGAACAGACACTGCTGAGCAGGGGTCCGATCCCAACCCCCACCCCCACATTAACTGCCAGTCTCCCCAGGTGCTGGAGAAAGAAAGAACTCCAGTCTCCCACTGGCAAAAAGCCCAGAGTCCAGGCTCACCTGCCGTTGCTGCAGCTGCTGCTGCTGCTCCATTTGTAACTTCTCGGTCTCAAAGACAACAGGAAGAACCAGGATCATAAAGGAAGTGGTCCCGATCCACAAGGCTGCCCTGGAAAACCTGCAGAGGGAGGGTGAGCATGGAGAGATGCAAGCAAAACCAGCCAGCCCAGGGGCTGGGGATTTAGCTCAGCGGCACAGCGCCTGCCTAGCAAGCGCAAGGTCATGAGTTCAATTCCTGGTACCGGAAAAAAACTAAAAAAAAAAACCAAAAACCAAAAACCAAAACCAGCCAGCCTGGTCACGAATGAGCCAATAAGCAAACGTCTCCCCTAGTACCAGTGTTTCTATTCGTGCATTCTACTCCCTCTTTGCACCACACACCTACAAGAGACAGGAGCAGCGGTGCTGGGAGCTGTAATGTCTAGTGACAGCAGTTCACATTCTCCTGAGCTCTTACTACGCTGCTCAGACATTAATAACCTGAAACGATCCCATAACGACCTTGCTAAGTAAGAATCCCACTTTACAGAAAAAGATACTAGGACTCAGAAAGGTTAGGGAGCAACCAACCAGCCCAAGGTCACTCGAACCCAGGTCTGCTGCTTCCAAAGCCCGTGTTCTTTCACAGCACTACTCACCCGCTGCGCGCCCCCAATGTCTTTTTTTTGCCTTCGCCACTTACCTGTACATTTTTTGAGCCACAAAGAGGGAGAGATCAAAAGTGGCTCCGGCCGCGGACCGGACCCTCTCGGGGAACATCTCCGTCAGACCCCAGAGTCTCTCTAGCAGGGTCTCGTCTAGCTGTGGGAGAGGAGGCGCGGGTCTTGGCCAAAGCAGCGGGAGGCACCCCCAGCCCCGCTGCGGCTCCAGGAGCCGCCGAACCCCCGGAGCGAGGGCACGCCGGGGCCCAGCGGGGTCCCTAACCCCGCCTCCCGGAGAAGCCGCCGCGTCCAGAGGCACAGCACGCGGAGCCCACACCCCCGGGCCAGCCCACTCCCCGCCCCGCGCACGGCGAGGACCTAGTACCTCGTCATCGTCGTCCTCTTCCAGCTCCTCCTCAGTCTTCTCAGCATCACCTTTTGGGAGCAACTCGTCTGGGGACATGGGCTCCCCGGCCCCGGCGGCGGCGGGTGCGGCGGCCATGACTGCAGGGGACACCGGACGCGGAAAGGAGCGATCGAGCGCTGCGCCGCGGCGGACAGAGCGCCCTTCCGGCAGCGAGACGCGCGGGCCGCGAGAGAGTGGCGCCCTCTGGCCCTCGGGTCCTCCAGCTCCATTCAGCGGGTCCCCCCCGCCCCTCCGCCAGGTTTACCTGGAGATTTTGACTTCAGCAGGCAGAAAAACAGCTGGAAACTTGCTAAGGGAGCACTCCTGGCTGCTTCCGCAGTATTTCTGTGCAGTGAGTTTAGGGTGGGACTAAAAATCTAGATTTTAACAAGCCTCCCTGGGATCGCACCTTGAGAAACACCAATCCGGTTTTATTTTCCTAGCCGGGCGTGGTGGCACACGCCTGTAATCCCAGCACTCCGGAGGTTGAGGCCGAAGGATGGTCGCGAGTTCGAGACCAGCCTGGGCTACAAAGTGAGCTCAAGGCCAGCCTGAACTGCATAGCGAGATCCTGTCTCAAAAAGACGAAAACAAACAAACTCAGTTTTATTTTCCTGTGAGGGATGGCAATTGGTAGGAATAAGTTAGCAGTTTGTTGGTTTATTGGTCTTTGGGGAAGCAGCAAGTAAACAGGCCCAAGGTACCAATGTAACAAGGACCTAAAAGCTGGGCCGGCAGATGCCCAGTGGGTAACTAAGAGCAGAGTGAAGCTTGGCATCTCTCCTTCAGTTTCCTTCATTTATTACTTTAATGCTTTGGGTCAGATCCCCGCTCAGGTCTGCAGGGGCATGTTAATCACTTAAGCGGGGTGTGTGTGTGTGTGTGTGTGTGTGTGTGTGTGTGTGTGTGTGTGTGTCTGTGATACAAGTCTGACTAGCCCTAAATCTACCAGTCTATTCCCCCCACCCCACCCCGTGCAAGCCAAAATAAGAGCAACTCATTTTCAGGATTTGCGGGAACATCCAGTGGTCAGATTTGTCAACATCCAGTTCCAGACCTGCTGGGGCAATGCGTAGAAGTCTCTGGTCATTGTCCTAAACCTGCAGTCACCTCGGATTCCAGGAAAGTTTGGAAAAACAAAACCTGGCAACTCTCCCCACCCGATGATGAGGTCCCCACCCCCAACAGGTGCAATTACCAGGACAGGAAGTGAGGCTGCCCTCAAATCAGGAGCAGACACTCCCCTTGGGAACCTAAAAGCCCCTCAACTGATGATGGCCGAACCAGGCCCAAGGTACCAATCACACAGCCTGACCAGGATCAGCTACAGTGCCGGTTGCACACTCCCAGCTGTGCAAACACCCAGCCCTTGCCTTTGCTCTCCTTCCCTATAAAACCCCAGCGCTGCTGCCCCTCACAGCCAGATCTTGATGCTCTTTATCTGCGATTCTCAGCATGGCCATGCTGATGACAGCTCCTTCCCTGTCCTTCAGTGCCTCATCTCAACTGCTGTCACAGACAGGCGGCTGAGCCTCATCTGCTAGGACTCCTGGACCTCAGGCTTTTGCCCTAAGACTCCGGTGTCACCAAAAGCAAAACAAAGGTAAGAACCCTGAAGGATGGATGAGGTGTGCTGTGTGCTTGCTTGCTTGCTTGCTTGATTTATTTATTTGAGACAGGATCTTACTCAATTGTCCAGGATGGCTTCAAACTTGCGATCACACACACACACAAAAAAAAAAAGGGCAGGGGATTTAGCTCAGTGGCACAGTGCCTGCCTGGCATGCGCAAGGTCGTGAGTTCAGTTCCCAGTACCAGAAAAAAAAAAAACCAAAAAAAAAAAAAAAAAAAGACTCAAACCTGCGTCAGCCTCCCCAAGATTATTTGGCTTGTTTTTTTACATTTTTTATTATTATTTTTTTAAGATAGGGTCTTACTACGTACCCCAGGCTTGGGGTTTATTATTTGGATTATTTGGCTTGTTTTTTTTACATTTTTTATTATTATTTTTTTTTAAATAGGGTCTTACTATGTACCCCAGGCTGGCCTCCAACTCACTATGTGACCTTAGCCTCTGCCTCCCACTTATACCAATTTTAGAAACAGCTGAGTACGGTGATGCACACCTATAATCTCAGCACTTGGGAGGCTGAGGCAGGAGGACCACCATGAGTAGAAAGTAGCCTAGTCTACATAGTGAGTTCAGGTCCATCCTGGATTTGACAGCCAGACCCTGTCTAAAAAAAAAAAAAAAAAAAATTGAGGCATAGTGTAGGGTCACTGCAGGTATTTCTAGAGGACAGATTTCTAGAAGTAGGCCTGGCTTGCTGGCCAGAAAGTATGCACATTTAGAATTCTGCTATGGGGCAACCCACTCAGGCCCCCCTTCTGTCTGTCTCTTAGACAGAAGCTTTCTTTCCCTCAATAAATATATTCTGCTTTTAAGAACAAAATAATGCTAGGAGGCTGGCTGTGTTGCTCAGGGGTAGACTGCTCACCTAGCATGCTCGAGGCTCTGGGTATAATCTCAGCACCTCAAAATGAGACTAAATTTTGCTAGGTATTAGCTAATTGTCTCCAAAGAACTATATCATGTACTTTTGGAATAGTAAATGGAAGTGTCCTTTCCCCATGTGCCACCATACCTGGCCATATTTTAATTTTCAACCATACAGTGGATGTAAATGCTTCTTACTTGTTCGATTTTTTTGTTTTGTTTTTGTGCATGCTTTTACATGTGCCCCTACGTTACTAATTAAAGGTAATTTGATATACACCTGTAGGTAACTGACCATGGAGTGAGGCCCGGGGGAATCCAGATTCTTATCTGATTCATAACGGTCATATGCTTACACACTGCAGCAGGGCTCTGCGACCAGCAGGTTCTCTGATCAGTGCTCAGGCCTTCAGTCTGTGGGCAGGGCAGCTGCGACTGTAGAATTTTCTTTTCTTTTGTCTTTTTGAGACAGGGTCTCACTATGCAGTTCAGGCTGGCCTTGAGCTCACTTTGTAGCCCAGGCTGCTCTCAAACTTGAAATGATCCTCCTACCTCAGCCTCTCAAGTGCTGGGATTATAGGCATGTGGCACCACACCTGGATGGATTTCATTTTTAAAATTGATTTGCATGTATGTGGTGCTGGGGATGGAACCCAGGGCTAGGCAAGTGCTTGATCCCTGAGCTACATCCTTGGCCCTTTTTATTTTTGAGACAGGGTCTTTCTAAATTGCTCAGATGAGGCTCAAACTTGAAATCTTGCTGCCTCAGCTTTCTCAGTAGCTGGGATTATAGGCGTGTGCTCAGTGCTAGAGGCCAATCTTTGGTAGAAAGCACAGATCAGTGACTCTCCAGGTGGAAAGTAATTAACACTGTAAGTAAGTCTTTTGGAAAACCAATTAATTTTGTTTCTATTGACAAGAATGATGCATGATTATATTTTCTCTTCCTGAACTGGGACTGGAACCCAGGGCCTTACATATGCTAGGCAAGTGCTCTACCACTGAGCTACATTCCCAGCTTTTTTTGACTTTTTTTTTTTTTTTTGAGACAGGATCTCAAAACTCCCCCGAGTATGTGTCACCCTGGCTGGCCTTGAACTTGTGGTGATCCTTCTGCCTCAGCCTCCTACATGCTGGGATCACAGGTGTGCACCACCACACCCAGCTTTTATATTACTTTTGAGACAGGCTCTCGCTATGTTGCCCAAACAGGGTTTGAACTTGTGACCCTCCTGCTTCAGTCTCCCAAGCAGCTGGGAATTACAGGCATGTGCCATACCACACCTGGCCAATACATGGTATTTAAAAATGTTCTGGGGCTGGGCATGGTGGAACATGCCTGTAATCCTGGCACTTGAGAGGCTGAGACAAGAGGATCGCTGTGAGTGCAAGGCCAACCTGGGCTACAAAGTGAGTTCAAGGCCAGCCTGGGCTACAAAGTGAGTTCAAGGCCAGCCTGAACTACCCAGCGAGACCCTGTCTCAAAAAGACAAAAAAGGTGGGGATATAGCTCAACAGCACAAGCGCCTGCCTGGCAAGCACAGGTCCTGAGTTCAATTCCCAGTACAAAAAAAAAAAAGACAAAAAAAAGGTTCTGTTTAAGGTAATAGAGCTCTTCTAGTACTTATGGGGCCTGAGGAAGGGGATAAAGAAAGACCAGGGGCCAGGAAGAAAACCAGTTGAGCGCGGCATCCCTGAAGGTTTCAAAGACCAGTGCTCAGCTGCAAAGGCAACGCGGTGGGCCTGATGCCAGGCCAGAGCTCACGTCAATGAACAAAGCACAAGGGTGCCAGCTGGAGGCCAAGTGACCCTCCTGCTGGAGGCAGGGGGTCCTGGGACCCTGGGCTCCTGCTCCTCCACCCCTCATCACTCAAGCTCACAATGGCCACCTTTGCTCTTTTTGCCCTGTCGGAATCTGAGACGGGCGATATAGGGTGTAGCAGGGCTTCAGGTTTGTTTTGTGGGGGTATCGGGGGGTTGAACCCAGGGCCTTTGCAGTATGCTACACCCCCATCCTTTTTTATTTTTTCTTCTGGGACAAGGTCTCACTAAGTTGTCCAGGTTGGACTCCAATTTGATATTCTCCTGTCTCAGCTTCCCAGAGCTATAGGATTACAGGCATGTACAACCACATCTGGCAAGGATATAGTAGTTCTTCAATGAAGCAGGGGGTCAGGCAGGTTCTTTTGAGAATCTTAAAAAAGCTCCAAGCCTCTCCCACAAAAAAATGCACATTTGCACCAGCTGCAGTGGCACATGCCTGTATAATCCCAGCACCCAGGAGGCTGAGGCATGAGAATCGCAAGTTCAAACCCAGCCTGGGCAATTCAGTGACTTAGCAAATCCCTGTCTGTCCTGCGGTCCCATGACAGCTCTTGGCCTGGTCCCTGCAACGTCTGACCCATCTGCTGACAGTCATGCTCACAGTCTAGGGGCACAGGCCTGCGCCGGGGGCAAGGAGATGGTGTGTGCAAAGACTTCGGTGCCGGGCACAGTGTGGCTACAGAAACCTGCAGTTCTGTTTAAACCCCTGGGCTGGGTGCCTGCATCCTCATGACCACTGGGTTCCTCTCGGCCACAAAGACCTGGCTCCCACTACTCAGATAGGAATTCCGTGCCAGCCACTGGTCCCTGCTGGGCCAGGCCAGTCCCACTCCCAAAGCAGCAGGGCAAGAGGATCTGGGCATGCGGAGACAATTTCACTTCCAGGTCGCCTCCTCTGGAGGACAGGAAAGCTGCACCGTCCTCTGCAAGGCTGCCATTTCCCCACACCGAGAGTTTGGTCTTTTCCTGTTAATTCTTCAGGCACCCGTGCTTTTTGCAGTCATTTGGGCCACTGAGGGGTCGTTCGGTATCATTTAATACAAAGGAAAGAGTATAAACAGGAAAATAGCACAAAAATAGTGTTGCTGTGGAAGGCTGGTGCTTGTTGCTGGGAAGCTGACGCCAGAGCAGCTGTGGCTTTGGGGATGAGCATTCTTCACGGGCCAGGGGCGAGTGGCCTGGCGGGGGGCAGAGAACCAAGAGAGTCAGTCACTTATTCCAGACCCCTAAACGTGGGCTCTGTGGAGCTTGTGCCATCCCTCAAGTCCAGCAGAGGTGGGGAGATGATGGAGTCCATGGAGTTCAGCTGCGGCTCCCGACTGCACTGTCCCACAGGGCGCTGGGGACATGGGCCGTTGCTCCCAAAGATTCCCACCCCCTTGGCTTCTTGGGATCTCCTTGCAGCCTGGCATCCCAGCCACTGCCCTGCCCGGCTTCCTCCATCCTGTGCCACCTTCCTTCTGGCAACAGAGGGTGCCAGTGCCTGCTGTTGTGTTCTGGGGCCAAATCCACTAGTTTTGCTAAAAACCAAACTGCTCAGCCTCACCCTACGCCCCCGATGGTGGGAGCCTCCCTGCTCCTAACCGGCGTCTCCGGTCTTATTTCCTTCTCCGGCCGACGCTCTTCAGTTCCTCCAGTTCCTTCTCCATTAAGTGGCATTCGGCAGTGGTCTCAGAGAGCTGGGAGGGAAGCAGCAAGCGTTAGGAAGAGGGAGGTACCTGCGCTCTGCGGGGCTCTGTGAGGCCAGCCTGGGAAAGGCCCGCTGGATTCCGCGAGCCCTGCAGCCTCGCGATGGGAAACCCGGGGTGGCCTGGCAGGGTGGCCACTCGGGACCCAGGGGCACAGGTGCTCAAAGAACATTCACCGTCTACTCTGCCCACATTTGATAAGCAGTGATTCATGGCATGCCCAGCATAAAGACTGCAGGCCGCAGAGGATGAAAAGACAGTGGTGATTCTAAGCCTAAGCAATTAGAGTTTAAATTGCTTCTGAGCTGTAGCTCACATAATCATAGTTGGGGGGAAATGCTTTATAAAGAACATGACTTGGCTCATCGGGATCTTCCACCGGATATCAGAGGAGGAGGAGTAAGAAGGTACAGGACAGGGACCCCAACAATCCATTTCTGCTCTCTGTTACAGAGCACTCTGCAGAGACATCGATACATAGAGCTTGGTTTACTGGGAAATAAGGCCTGTGATTCCTAAGCCACACACTGCTCCAAATGTTGGGCTTAATTAACTCACTAGGAGGCCAACGATGGCACTGTGATGCCCATTTTCTTGCTGAAGAAACTGTCACTGAGCAGTGACACCGACTCCAGGACACCTGCTCCAGCCCCAACAGCGCCCTCCGCACCGTCACCTAATGCAACGAGCGCCCCCTGCAGGTCTGAGCCTGCCTGGTGTGGACACGGAGCAGAAGCAGATCGCTCCCTGTTCCTCCTCCATCCTGCCACCGTCCTGTAGCTCAGCTCAAATGTCTCTTCTTCCGTGAAGTCTCCTGACTGGCAAAACTAACACCAGACCCTGCACAGCCTCTGTTGCCCCTACCAAAAGGCACTGTACCTGCGGGTCCTGTCACGACCTCAAAGGTGGGACTATACCTTCGTTGTCTTTTTTTTTTTTTTTTTAAGACAGGGTCTTACTGTGTAGTCCAGGCTGGCCTCGAACTTGTGGCGATCCCCCTGCCTCGGCCTCCCAAGGGCTGGGATTACAGGTGTGCGCCACCACACCTGGGCTTGGCTTTGTCTTTGATACAAAGTAATGTATCTGGACAAACAGGCACAGTGAAGTATCGGTGGTATGAGATGACCCAAGGGACAAGCCAGGCATCCCCTCCCATCCCCTTCCTCACCATGTCCAGCAGGATGTCCACTTTCAGCCGCAAGAGGTTGTTCTCCTCCTCCAGCTGCTGGTTCCGCCTGCGGAGGCGCTGCATCTCCCTCTGCTCCACGCCCCCACTGATGCCGGCCTCTGTGGGAAGGAGAGAGCTGCAGTAACCGCAGGGATTTCCTTCTGCGGCCTCGTTTGGCAAGACGGCAGTAGACGTGGCCCACCTGCTATCCACTGGCCCTTTTCAAACTTCAGGTTCTGCCCCGCCAAGTTCATCGTGGGGGTTCCGTAGTTCAGACCCAGCTCCACATCCCGGATTGAACGATCCAACTGTGGGGGAGACGCTACGTGACAGCTTCAGGAGCTATGGATTAGGAGCCCCCGTCCCAGCTCCCCCTCTGCTCCCTGTAGACCCCAACAATGCATTTCTGTTCTCTATCGCCGAGCACTCTGCGTGTGTGGGTGAGCGCGCCTCTCCGTGTGCGTGCGTATGTGCTGCTGGGGACTGAACCCAGAGCCCCACACAGGCTAGGCAAGTGATCTGCCTCCGGGCTACACCCCGGCCCCACCCCCTTTTAACTTTTATTTTGAAACAGGCTCACCAAGTTCCCCAGGACAGCCTCGAACTTGCAATCCTCCTGCCTCAGCCGCCCCATGTGCTGCAATTACAAGCGTGCACCACCACATCTGGCTTCGAAAACTCCTTTTAAAATGTATGGGTACATTATTTGCTTACTATGGAGCTACATACATCAAGGAAAAGAAATAACTTCCAACACCCAATTCATAGTAGTAATAGGAGCAGTTTTTTAATGTGGGATAGTCCAATCTCTGGATTCATTTATATAACTCACTGAGCACCAGCCTGAGCCAGGACTAGGTGCTGACCAACTCTGCCCTGGGGAAGCTTTCACCCCTGCACAGGAGAACCCAGCAGATCAGAGAAGCAGCCAGGCTGGAGGTGTAGCTCAGTGAAGAGACTGCTTGCCTGGCATGCGCAGGGACCTGGGATTGATTCCCAGTGCTGCGAAAAAAGGAGGGGGGCGGGTGGGGAGAAACATGGCAGGGACCCTTCAAGTGCCTCATTTTTTCTCAGGCCTCCTTGACCATACTACTTAAAAGTGATAACTCCAGCCGGGCGTGGTGGCTCATGCCTGTAATCCCAGCACTCGAGAGGCTGAGGCAGGAGGATCTTTGCGAGTTTGAGAGCAGCCTGGGCTACAAAGTGAGCTCAAGGCCAGCCTGAACTGCATAGAGAGACCCTGTCTCAAAAAGACAAAAAAAAGTGACCACTCCAATGCCACCATGCCCTTCCCAGCCCCTGCTTTGTTCCAAAGCACCTGTTATCACCTGACACAAACTTACTTTCTGTACCCCTCCCAATTAAAATATTTGCCCCATGAAGGCAGAGATTTGATTTTTTTCTTCTTAATCCATTTTATGTCCAGTGCCTAGAAAAGTGGCTGGCACATAAAAAGTTATCAGTTATCAGCTCTGGAACAAATGAATAGGGAAGAAGACTGCAGGAGAGGGAGGGAAAGCCACGCACGGAGGAGGCTCCTGCAGACATGGGCACCTGAGGTAGAAGCGGGTCGAGGCCAGGCACGGTGCTGCACACCTGTAATCCCAGACTCTGGGAGGCTCAGGCAGGAGGACTGTAAGTTCAAGCCCATCCTGGCTGATTCTGAGAGACTCTGTCTCAAAATAAAAGATAAAAAAGGGCTGGGGTTACAGTTCAGTGCAAAGGCCCTGGGTTCAATCCTAGTACTGGGGGGTGTCTAGAAAGCAAGGGCAGGAAGAGGAGCTGAGGGAGGACGTGAAGGGCTGCAGGGAGGGCTGACCCTAATTACCATTGACACCTCGGTCACGGAAGCACATCTGTGTCAGGCCAGGGTCGGCTTGAGAGCCCATGGTGCTCCTGTATCTCTGACACACAGGGAGGAGAGAGGGGCCCAGGGCCTGGAGGCAACAGAGACTGAGACCCAGCATGCCCAGCCCTGGCCACAGAGGCACTGCCCTCCACTGTGATTTTATCTAGGGACAATGGACTCAAGGCCCCCAAAGCTGAGGTTAAACCTCAGCCCTAACACCCTGTGAAGGTCCAGCTGATGTGTACTACCAGCCCGGCAGGAAAAGGGCCAAGGAATCAGGTTGTGTCCCTCCATGGTGTCTGAGAGCCAGGAATGGTGTATAGGACGGTGACGCGCAGGATTATGGGGGATGAAGACCCTGAAGCTGATCCCACATGCTCAAAAGATTTTAGGAGATGCTGAGCATGGTGGCACACACCTGTACTACCAGTACTCAGGAGGCTAAAGTAGGAGGATTTCCACAAGTTCAAGGCCAACCTGGGCTACATAGTGAGTTCAAGGCCAACATAAACTACACACAAGACCCTGTCTCAAAAAAAGCAAAAAAAAAAAAAAAAAAAAAAAAAAAAAAAAAAAAAAAAAAAAAAATTCAGCAGAAAAGGAAGGTGACAGTACATAGCAGTGATGGAGAACCTTTTAGAGATTTCACTGATAGAGATTTTAGAGATTTAGTGACAGAGATCACTTTTAGAGATTTCACACGTGCCATAGATTCACCACCACTGGTGTATAGGGTCAGTGTGTATCTGTGTGCTGGAGATGGAGTGATATCTCATAGCTGAGAACAGAAACTGATTTCCATGTGGTGTGACTTTGTGATATATAATTTTTAAATTATCGTGTGTGTGTGTGTGTGTGTGTGTGTGTATGTATGCACGCATGTGTGAGTGTGACACTGGGATGAACCCAGAGCCTCACACTGCTAGGCAAGTGCTCTGCCACTGAGCTATGTCCCCAGTCCTGTCATATAATGTTTTGTTTGTTGTTTTGTTTTGAGACGGGGACTCGCTATGTAGTTCAGGCTGTCCTTGAAGTCATTGCATACCATAGGCTGGCCTCAAACTTGCATCAATCCTCCTGCCTCAGCCTCCCAAGCGCTGGGATTACAGGCTTGCAACACCACACCCAGAAAATGTCACACAACTTTTGAAACCAGAGGTCATACATTCAAAGGAGATGCTATCATTTATCCCAATGCAATTGTTATGGCTTCCAAACATGCTCGGAAACTACATTACCCTTTTGAATCCCACTAATAGTGGCAAATCACTGTCTTTTCAAAACGAATTTGATTCTCAAGCATGACTAAAATTAGTTCTTGGCCAAGTCTTGTGAATAAAGTGAAAGTTAAATTAGATAATATTGTTTGAGACCAAAAAGTGTAATGAGATTGTCTCATTTGTGGTTTTTTTTTGTTTGTTTGTTTGTTTTCTTTTTCAGAGTCTTGCTATGCAGTTCAGGCTGGATTTGAACTTACTTTGTAGGCCAGGCTGACCATGAACGTGCAATGATCCTCCTGCCTCAGTCTCCCATCTCATTCAGATTTTTTTTTTTTTTTTTTGGTCTTTTTTGAGACTGGCCCTCACTATGCAGCTCAGGCTGGCTTTGAACTCACTTAAGTAGCCCAGGCTGGCCTCGAACCTCCAACGATTCTCCTGTGATCCTCCTGCCTCAGCCTCCAAAGTGCTGGGATTACAGGTGTGCACCACCATGCTTGGCTCATTCAGTTCTTAAATCAGCTCTGACGACTATTCCCAAATAGGAATGAGAGACTATCCTTCAGCAACGGCAGCCAGTGAGCTGAGAGGATGCTCTCCCAGGACAAGCGTCTGAAGGCGCATGCTGCCCTGGCACCAAATCCCGCTGCGCCAGGCCACCCCGCCCCACTCACAGTCTGCAGGTTGGACAGGGAGGCTGACTTCCGAGGAGGCGTCTTCTTTGGACTGAAGATATTCCCAAAGAGAGGCATCTCGCCTGCTGGGGGAAAGGCTGATGCTCCTTGGCCTAGGATCAGGAAAGGTCAAACAGTCGGTGACCTAGGCTATTGTTCTCAAATCATGAAAACTCACTCTGTAGCCCAGACTGGCCTCAAACTCCCAGCGATCCTCCTGCCTCAGCCTTCTGAGTGCTGGGATTACAGGTGAGCACCACCATGCACGGCTATATTCTACTCTAAAGACATAAAGCTCTCCTTGTGTCTCACTCTCAGATTGGCCCATATGTCATCAAGGAAAGGGAATGACCCCATGCGCCAGAGCTGACGACAGCATCCCTACTGTCCCCACTGAGCATCAGCTTCAGCGGGGAAAGTATACTTAGAAGCATATTTATAACACAAACACAGGAAGCTCTGCAAATCCTGTGTAAGGCTTCATGAGTTTTTGCTACACACACACACACACACACACACACACACACACACACCCCTTCCTTCCAGATCAGGGCACAGAACACTGCAGCACTCACAAGCCTTGCCCATGGACTCTGTATCCATGGACCTGTACAGGCCCTCTTTTCCACGTGGCTTCTTACACCCAGAATCGTGTTTATGAGATTTAACCATTTTGTTCTGTGTAGTAATTTCTTCATTTGTGTTGCTATATTTTATTTTATTTTATTTTTTGAGGCAGGATCTCACTATGTAGTTTAGGCTGGCCTGGAACTCATGGTGATCCTCCTGCCTCAGCCTCCCAAGTGCTGGAATTACAGTAGTATACCAACACATATGACTGCATTGCTATATAATATTCTACCACATGATCACATCAAAAATTGTCCACTCTGCAGGTAATGGATATAGACTGTATACAGGTTTTGACTATCAAAAACAGTACTGTTAACACACTTGGATGTATATTTCTGGATTGCTATGTATTTTTCTAGTCCTTAAGTGTGGAATTGTTGACTTGTAGGGCATTCATACCTTTAGCTTTAACAGATACTGCTAAATAATGTTCCAAAGTGGCTGTAAGAATTTATACTCCTACCTGCAATGTATAAGACAGCTTTTACATTTTCTGTCTTTTTCATTTTATCCACTTTGGCAGGTATGTATGGTATTGTGCTGTTCAGTTTGCTCTTTCTCAGTGTCTAGCTAAATTGTACACCTTTTCATATATTCTTTGGACCTATGGGTACTCTCTTTTGTGACAGTGCTTGTTAAAGTCTTTTGCCATTTTTCTACTGGGTTTGTCGTTTTCTTACTGGTTTGTAAGGGTTCTTTATATATGGTAGTGCTAGTCCTTTGTTATATACAGAGTCTGCTGGAAAAAAATGTATACATACTAGCAGTTCACCATACTAATAAATGTAGGGAAGCTAATGGCTCCACTTTGAGCACCTCTTGTAATTGTAGAGGCCAAAGGTAACTTGTATTACTTTCATGATGTCTCAATAAATTTAGTATCAAAATATTTATACTTTTTTCTTTTCCTGGTATATATAGTTTTTGACAGACTCTGTGCATGTATAGTGCTAACAATATCCCAACCTGCCTTTTTGCTTTTGTTTGTTTGGGGACAGGTATTGGGGCACAAACCTACTGAGCTACATCCCAAGCCCTTTTTATGTATTAGAGATAGTCTTGCTAAGTTGCCCAAGCTGGCCTCAAACCTGCAATCCTCCAGCCTTGGCCTCCCAAGTATACAGGATCCCATTTTACTTCCTTATTGGTTTTCGATCAAATAGGTTTTGTTTGTTTGTTTGTTTGTTGTCTTTTTGAGACAGGGTCTTGCTATGCAGTTCAGGCTGGCCTTGAGCTCACTTTGTAGCTCAGGCTGGTCTCGAACTCACAACGATCCTCCTGCTTCAGCCTCCTGAGTGCTGGGATTACAGGTGTGTGCCACCACGCCCAGCCTCAAATAGGTTTTTAATGAAAGCCAATTTATTACTTTTTAATGATTAGCATTTTATGTCCTGTTTAGGAACTTTTCATACTCCAAAGTCATGGTTTTTTGTTTTTGTCTTTTTGAGACAGGGTCTCACGATGCAGTTCAGGCCCGTCTTCAACTCACTTTATAGCTCAGGCTGGTCTCAAACTTGAACTCACAACTTGATCCTCCAGCCTCAGCCTCCCAAGAGCTGGGATTACAGGTGTGTACCACCAAGCCCAGTTTATGTGTTTTGATTTTACCTTTGTTTTTGTTTTGAGACAGGGTCTTGCTAAGATGTTAAATTCTCCAAGCTGGGCTCCAACTTCCTCCTCAGCCCCCCAGTGTGCTGGGATTACAGGCATCCATCGACACAACCATCTCTAAGTTAATTTCTGAAATTTTTTTGTTTTACTTTTTACATTTAGGACTACCATTCATCTGGATTTGGAATTAATTTTGGATATGGTATAAGACAAGGGTTGGGGTTCATTTGTCCCCGTGTATTAGTCCATGTGAACTTATTCGCACAAGTATCTTAGAAAGATCCCTTCAAAGAAACGGGGGACTGAAGATGACAACGAAAGCACAGCAAGCAAGAAGAGAATGGCGGAGCTTCCGTTTCCCTACGCCTAGGCACAGAGTCTTCCTTGATCACATTGTGAGATAAAAGCAGTAACAAGTGCATCACATCTGAGAGGGCACTGGCCCAAAAAGGAGGGATCATCTCAAGCATATTTCTTTCTTTTTTTTCAAGTTTGAGGGTTCGTTTTGTTTTGTTTTGAGACAGGGTCTCACTATGCAGTTCAGGCTGGTCTTAAACTCATTATGTACCTCAGACTGGCCTTGAACGCACGGCGATCCTCCTGCCTTGGCTACCCTAGTGCTGGGATTATAGGTGTGCACTATCATGCCCAGCCTTCAAGACTATTTAAAACAAAGTTTTTTTGCCTGTAATCCTAGCACTCAGGAGGCTAAGGCAGGAGGATCTATATGAGTTCAAGTCCAGCCTGAACTACACAGTGAGACTCTGTCTCAATAAATACATAAATAAATAAATAAATAAATAAATAGATAAATAAAATTGTACCAACTGTATTAAAAGATAATTCATAGTATAAATTCATTATGATTGTTTTTGAGGGGGGTACCAGGAATCGAATTTAGGACCTCATGCTGGCCAGGCAGATGCTGTGCCACTGAGCTATATCCTTAGCCGTCAAATTCATCATGATTAACAAGACATGTATCCAGTGAGAACATGAAGTTCTCACTGAGGTAGAAATCAATTTCACCAATGTTAATTATGAAAGTATAGAAGCTTCTTTGGAATTTTTATACTGTGCAATATAAAAGTATATTTATGATATATAATTACACCAACAGGCTGCAGATGGAGCTCCATGGTAGAGCATGTGCCCAACATGTGTGAGCCTCTGGGCTTCATCCCCTATACTGCAAAAAAAAAAAAGTTAGAAGTAAATAGCCGGGCATGGTGGTACATGCCTGTAATCTGAGTACTTGGGAGGCAGAGGCAGGAGGATTGCACGAGTTTGAGGGCAACCTAGACTACATAGTGAGATACTGTCTCAAAACAAACAAATAAGCAAAAAGTTATAAGTAAATAAGCAAACAAAAATCAAGCCATTTGAGGATGTGTGTTCATGCCAGTGTCACTGGTAGGCAGGTGTCTATAAATGAACACAACTGTAGACCAACAATCTAGGGCAGTGGTGGCCAACCTAGAGCATGCGTGCTGCAGTGGGCTGTTTGTATCACTGAAAGCTCTAAAAGGTGCGCTGTCACTGACCTAGGGGCTGGCATTTGGCCCTGAGCACAACACTTAGGACAAGCACAACACCTGGACAAACCTTAATGGCTTCAGCTTGGTGGTGAAGGGGACAGGGGTAGCGACCAAGATGCTGAGGTGGTCTGAAGCTATGCCACCATCCAAAACATATTAGAAGGCCCTGGCATTTCTGCTGGAGAAAGGAAAGAGGGTAGAAGAGGGAAAAGGATTAATCTTACATTTGTAGAGAGCAGAACAAGAATAAAACTGAAGGGAGTGCAGGCAGAAAGATCTTAAGGAAAATGCACAATAACAACTAGTATCACTTCCTATCTATCAAGTATGGGTCAGCCTCAGTGCTGGGCACACTTCAGATATTTCTTTTGCTCTATACAATTATCCTGAGAAGCAGTATTTTCTTATCTGTACTGGAGATGAGAAAACTAGAGCTCAGAGAAATTAACCAATTTTCCGAAGGTAGATAGCCATAGTTGGTTAAAGGTATATATCAAATTATCCTTGTATTAATAACTTGGGAGGTACATTTTTTGGTTGTTTGTTGTTTTTTTGAGGCAGGATCTCACTATGTAGTTCAGGCTGACTTGAATGCACTATGTAGCCCAAACTGGCCTTGAACTTCATGGTGATCCTCCTGCCTCAGCCACCAGAGTGTTGGGATTACAAGTGTGCATCACCAGAGCCGGTGGGAGGTATTTCTTGAAAGAAGCAGTTTCATCTATCATATTGGCAAAAAGAATGAATAAAAATCCAATGTTGGGGGGCTGGGGATTTAGTTCAGCGGCACAGTACCTGCCTGGCAAGCACGAGGTCGTGAGTTCGATTCCTGGTACCGGAAAAAAAAAATCCAATGTTGGTGAGGGTGTAGAAGAAAAAGACAATTTATTATCAGCAGAAATGTAGGTTGTTATAATTCTTTTAAGGACAATTAGGCACAACCTTTTTTGGGGGGGGGGTTTCCAGTACCGGGAACCAAACTCACGACCTTGCACTTGACAGGCAGGAGCTGTGCCACTGAGCTAAATCTCCAGCCCTTTTTTTGTCTTTTTGAGACAGGGAGTTCAGGCTGGTCTTGAGCTCACTATGTAGCCCAGGCTGGTCTCAAACTTGCAGCAATCCTCCTGCCTCAGCCTCCTTAGTGTTGTGATTATAGGCGTGCACCACCATGCCCAGCTAATAATATTTTTAATGCATACTTTGTGTCTGTCTGTCTGTCTGTTTGCTTGTTTGAGACAGGTCTCACTATGTAGCCCAGGCTGGCCTTTCCTCCCCCAGCCTTCCGAGTGCTAAGATTAAAGGCAGGAGCTACAATGTCCAGCAATGTGCATACTTTTTGGACAGCAAATCTATTTTTAAAATTTTCCTCCAGAAAGACTTGTACATATACAAATGTTCTCTATTGTTTATAACAATGAAAAATAAGAAATACTCCAAAATGTCTACTAAGGGTTGGTGTAGCCAAATGTACTGTGGCACATTCTTATACTGGAATACTAAGCAGCAATTACATATAGTGAGAGAGTTATATATAGACTGTCCAGAAAAGCCTCCAACACATGTTTGAACATGAAAGCAAGTTACAGAAAAATGTGTATAATACAGTCCCATATGAGACGACAAACAGGAATATTCACAATGTATTATGAAGATAAACCTGGGAAGGAGAGTAGCTGACTTCCTTGGATGAAATTGCCATTTTACAGTTTCAAAAAATCCTCCAATTTGGCTATTACATCTGATACAATATAATATAAGCTGGGTGTCATGCCAATCATCCCAGCCCTCAGGAGGCTGAGGCAGGAGGATCAAGGATTGCTCGGAGTTCAAGGCCAGTCTGAACTACATAGCAAGACTCTGTCTGAAGAATGAAAAAATATATATAAAATATATTTAAAATATACAAATGTATAGAAATATAAAATCATATTAAATACATTTCTGGACTTAATGGATTCTTTCAATGATAATATATTCATATATCAGTTATGAGCAAAATAAACAAAAAACCAGAAATAATTAGAAGGCAGCCCCTGTCCCTTCAAGCATCTGGAAACATTCAAAGAAGGAAAAGTAAGGCAAGTGGTTCTTGCTAATCTTCCTGACTGCACCAAGAGCACTACGCCTAAGGCCATTACCTGGATGTGACAGACAAGGGTTCAGGCCTAGCTCTGGCCCTCAGTTGATTGCTAAACCTCAACTGAATTGCTCAATTTCTTGAGGTTTTAACTGGGGCCTCTCACGCATGGCTCACTAATTCTCATAACCTTTAGGCCAAGAACTGTTGACCATTGAGTCATGCATCACGTAACAAAGTTTCAATTAACAAAAAACCCACATACACAACAGTGGTCCCATAAGATTATAATGTGGGCTGGGGATATAGCTCAGGGGCATAAGTGCCTGTCTGGCAAGCACAAGGTCCTGAGTTCGATTCCTGGTACAAAAAAAAAAACCAAGAAGATTATAATGGAGCTGAAAAATTCCTATCATTTACTGATATCGTGCCCAGGCAGTTGGAGCAAAACACACTGCCCGCATGTTTATGCTGACGGTGGCATAAACAAACCTATGGCACGGCCTGTCATATATGAGTACAGTATGCACAATTATGTACAGCACATAATACCTGATAATAGAAGACTATGCTACTGCGTTGTGTATTTACTATACTATACTTTCATCATTAGTGTACTCCTACTTATAACAAAAGTTTAGGGTAATGCAGCGTGACAGTCCCCTCAGATATCTCAAATTTACATCGATTAAATGCATCATTTTCTCTTGTGCTTGATTTAATTTCATGAGTTTTTGTTCGACGTGGTCCTAGGAGCAATAGGCCAATACAAACACACACACACACACACACACACACACACACACACAGTCCCCTATGTGTGTTCCAGGCTACTATACCATTTGGTTTATGTAAGTACACCATACAACATTTGTACAACTGGTGAAAGCTTCCCCCCACACCCCAATGCATTCTTAGAAAGTGTCCCAGTCATTAAGTGACACACAACTGTGTTATGGATGAGGGGAAGAAAGGGTCTGGACCAGCTGTCTTTTAAGTCAGATCTAACAGCTCATGAACAACTTGGGCCGAGATTCTGCGACCCTGCAGTCCTGCAGCAGTATTGTGGGCCAGGACACAAGCCATCCCTTTGGCTGAAGCTGGCCTTCTTTCTAGCGAAACTCCTTGGGAAAGGGTAAGGGAAAGCAGAGCACCTGCCTCAACCATCACTCTGCTGGTCCCTCTGCGTTTATCCCCCCTGGGCTTGGCTTCTTTATTTGTAATCAGAAGTAATAACAGCAACCAACTCACAAGTTGGTAGAGTGCTTTAGTGTTCATAAGACGTGGCATTTGGCCTTCACAGCGACCCTGAGGAGTAGGATCAGGCGTGTCCCCCATCTATAGACGATACTAATCGCTTATCATTGTGCAAGGCTTTAGTTTACAACAGGCCATAAAATACATTCGTCAATTCTGACAAGAAGTAAGGGAGGAATCTTTGGCTTTCCTCAGATTCTGAAAGGGAAAGGCGTCCCCTAAAGAGCTAAGAGCCAACCAGGTATACCTCTCTCACAGGTATACGGGCCGCCAGGGCTCACGGACTCAACTAACGGTTGCGAACACACGTTCACACGCACGATCCTTTTTTTTTTTTTTTGGTTTTTCTCCGGTACCGGGAACCGAACTCACGACCTTGCGCTTGCCAGGCAGGCGCTTTTGCCGCTGAGCTAAATCCCCAGCCCCACACGCACGATCCTATTTAGTCACCCTTAAGCCTATTTAAGGGGAACAACTCCCATCCCAGCTCACACCTGAAGAAACACACTTGGGTCGAGGCGGAGACGGCCTGGGGCAACCCCTGAGGATCTTCTCCAAGGGGGCCGGGGCGTCCCATTCCCCTCGCATGACCCCAGGGCTCGCTGCCGGCCGGGTTCAGAGACATACCTGTAGCGTCCCAGAAGCCAGGATCAAAATCAATCCCTAGATGCCTGCAAAGACCCAGCCGGATCCCTAGCAACCCGGATCACCTGCCTGCCGTTACCTCTTCGCATTGCGCATGCGCGGGCCCGCCCTGGACTCTACCACCAGGAAGGAGGGGGTGCCGGCACGGGGCCAACGCGAGCGCCCCCAAGAAGCATCGGAGGCGCTTGAGGACTCCCTCCAGTATACTAAATATATTATGCCAAGGAAGTGTTTTATAGAGTACTTTGCATCTCCGTATTATAGGGTGGACGGGAAGCTACACTCTCCCCCCAACAAATGCGTTGGTCTGGTCCACAAGCCTTCGGCGGCGGTCACCCTGGTAACGGCGTACGGCGGACACCGCTGAAGCAGGCAAAGGTTCCATTGTTGTAGAAAAGGTGAAACTAGTGAGCGTGCCCGGCGTTGCCTAGAGAATACACAGACATGGTCATAGTAGCAAAATGGGCCTCTCCCCGACTCATCTCCTACGCCCCCCTCCAAAGCAAAGGCCACTCCTTCCTGGTGGATGTGGGGCAGCGGGTACCAGGTGCCCATCCAGAACTTTGTGGGGTCCCCTGAGGAACCAGTGGCGCTACCCGTCACAAATTCGTCGGATTCTGCCATGCTTTCAGGTAGGGCAAACTGCCAGACGGACGATGATCCCATTCCGACAGCGCACGGGTTCGGGGCAGGCCTGTCCCCTCCTCATGCCCTGACCCTTCTCGGCTTCTCCAAGCCAGGGAAACTGAGGCCCCGGACCACTTCGAAGTCGCCCGGAGAGCCAGGGGCAGAGAACTGGAGAATCAGATCTCCTACTGTCCTGATAGCGTGTATTGTTGGCGCCATGTGGTAAACGAAGGAACTCGGGTCATTCAGGAGATATTTACTGGCTCCCTAAAGGGTACCCCAGGTCATCCGGGCAATGAGAGATAAGATCCCCGATTTCTGTCTCCACGCACAGTTCTCCTCCTGCTACACCACACTGCATCAAAGAGAGGAGAGCTGTGTGTCCTGGACCCAGAGTCTGCACTGTCTAGCCCAGCACTGTTCAACAGAAACATACAGCAGACCACCTAACCTGGAATTTTCTAGTAGCTACATTTTTATTTTATTTTTTTAGCTGTCTTCTAAAAATTTTATTTATTTTTTAATTTAGATTTTATTGATACATTTTAGATATACATAAAGATCACGAGTAGCTACATTTTTAAAGATAAAGAAAAGCCTGGCATGGTGGCACACGCCTTTAATCCCAGCACTTGGGAGGCTGAGGCAGGAGGATCGTTGCAAGTTCAAGACTAGCCTGGGCTCCAAAGTGAGCTCAAGGCCAGCCTGAACTGTATAGCGAGACCCTGCTTCAAAAAAAAGATAAAAGTCAAAACAAAACAAATAGAATTAATTTGAATATTTTATTTAACGCCATATATCCATAATGCAATATGCTCTTTTCAGATTTAATCAATATTTTAAATTTTATACTGTTTCAGGTTTTAGATTTTTTTTGTTGTTTTTTTCTGGTGCTGGGAATCGAACTCACAACCTTGCGCTTAGCCAGGCAGGCACTTTGCTGCTGAGCTAAATCCCCAGCCCCTCAGGTTTTGGATTTAAATTAAGTAAAATAAAATTTAACTTCAGTCACACTAACCAATTCAAGGGGTCAGCTGTCACATGTGTCTAGTGTTCTCTGTGATGGGCAGCACAGGTCTAGCCTCTTCTACCCTTTCCAGTTCTGCTGCCCTCTGCTTGTAAGATTCCTCCCCTCCACTCCATCCAGTGAACTCTGCTCCTCCTTCAGCACCTTGACTCCCCCATAGCACCGTGCACCTCCCTGTGAAGCAACAGTGACAGGTACCCATTATTATGATTCATAATTATCCTTCATGAATTAGAATTTATAGTTACCTATGTAATTATTTGACTTTAACAAATCTTTCCCCAGTAGATTTTTTTTTGTTGTTGTTTTTTGGTACCGGGAACTGAACTCATAACCTCACACGTGCTAGGTAGGCACTGCACCACTGCGCTCTATTGCCAGCCCTTTCCCAGTACATGTAAGCACTATTATTAGTGATCGAGTCTGGTTCATCTCACCATCCTGTCCCAGGACAAGCACACTGCTGGCTGGTGGGGAATATTCAGTAGTCACTGTTTTCACATGCTAGGATATGCCGACCTCCAGTAGGGGACACTGAAATCTCTCCTGCCCAAGACTCTGTGCTCCGGGAGGGTAGAAGGTTCCCCCTCCTCTGCCCTGGGATGTAACACAGTGCTTGCTACAGTGTCGCTACTCAGTGAAGCTAGTTTTCTTCCTCCTTCTCATCAAGTAATGACAGGAAAACTTATCAGGCCTTAAAAAATACTTATCCTTAAATGTTCTGATGAAAAATTCATCAGGGAACAGAGTGTGTATTTTAAACATTTCACTTAAGAAGCATGCTACTGAAGCCTCCCATTAGTGTAATAATGTTAAGCTGAGTCAGGAGGCTTTTGACAGAGTCACCTAAGCCTGGCTTCTCAGAAAACGTGTTGTAGCTTTCCAGTCACTCTGGGGAGCAGGTGGGAGGAAAATGAGAAGCCCTAAAATGCACCTGCCTCCTCCTACCCTTCTCCCCTTTGCTTATATGACTGGAAGCAGAGGACAAGAAAGGGTATTGACCTGGGGCAGGGCCAGCCTTTCCTATGATCCATCCGACTTTGGACTCAGAAGCAATGTAGTAAGTGAGGCTAAAAGAAATCAAATATTGAAATGAACTTAACCGCCAAGGGGCAAATTGCCTAATGGAAAAAGATGTAGAAGCAGTCATTGTAGTTCAATATTTTAAGCGCTGAAATAGAGAGATGAAAGTGGAACCCTGGGCTTCGCAGAGGATGATGAAAGGCATAGATGTGTGCAGAGTAAAACACGGTCAGGGGCCAGGAAGAAGTTCTGTGGGTCAGGCGTGTGAAATGCATGGCTGGGGAGAAGAGATGGGGACCACGCATGAGCCAGGGGAGAGAGGAGTGATGAGGGGCCACCTGGGTTAATTTTTCTAGCAAACTTGATCTTTTTTTCCCCCTTCCATTATGTGTGAGTTGCTTGAGGATAGGATCTAAGCTTTGACTTCTGTATATAACCAGGCCACTAACACTGGCTCTGGACATGGGGGGCCAAGAAATGGTAGTGTTAGAGTCTTGGCCACTAAACAAGGACCCAGGAGAGCAGCCGGGCCAGAGTGTTCTATAGCCAGGGAGGAAGGGCAGGGATGGGGCCAGTTTCCTGGGAGGGAGCAGAAAGCGCAGGTAGAGTGAGAGTTTCATGCTGAGGAATTGGGCACTGTAACCTACAATCAGCACATCAGAGATTTGGAAGGAGACTTGGGGTCATCCACTCCAAATCTGCTTTGTAGTTAAGTCTCAGAGTGACAGAGCCTTGCTTTCACTTCTAGTTTGGAAACAGGCTTGCTGGCTGGGTAGTCTGGAAGCCTGGGCTTTGCAGTACTCTAGTCTTTTTATTTTTAAAACTAGAACAGTTTTTAATCTTGGGTGGAGCATGCGCCCACATGTTGAAGAAATGAATACCTATTCCTTGAATGGGCTTCCCAGACAGAAGCCTGTCGTCCCCACAGAGGCCTGGGTCATGCGTTTGGCCATCAGCCCTGCTTAACAGGTGACCTTGTTGGTCTTTTTTCCTCTTGTGTTTTCTGAAACAGCTCTATGCTATTTGTGATTTCCAGGAAGCTGATTAGACAGAGAACAAGACTGGAGCGGGAAATGAGAGGCTTTTAAACGTGGGAACTTTTCATTTGCCACTTGACACGAAACTGGACGATGAACTACAACAAGCAGATGGATATCATCAACGCCACCTTCTTCCCAGTGATACCCTTGGCTGAGCAGCAGGGGCTCTCGCTCAGTGCATGGAAGGCAATGGAAAGTGCTGTGAGGAAGAATTTAGAGGAGGAGCTATCCAGTATCCTTGCGGGGGCGGTGCTGAAAACCAGACCAGATGCACCTAATTGAGTTAGGTCACAGAGGCATAATTGGCGCTTATGTCTATAATGCAAGTTACCTACTAGCCCCCTCCATATGTGCCCATTAATTTTTTTTCAAGTACTTAAACCTCTTCTCTGTAAGAATGTGAGACTGCAAAGGAGTGACTTGAGTTGTTTTTGTTTTGTTTTATTTTTGTGTCACTAGGGATGGAACCCAGGGCCTCACGCAAGTTAGGCGAGCGCTCTACCACTGAGCTGCATCACCAGCCTGACTTGTTCTGTTGCTGGTATAATCAGAAAGAGTCCAAAAGGAGGAAGCCCTGGAGGTATTTGCTGAAAGAATAAGGCAGAAGTGAGTTTGGGACCCAGTTTTCTGTCTTTACTCTGGTTGACCTCGCCTCTTTCCCCTGCCAGCCCTTCTGCCTGGGCCCTCTGTCTGCTCCTTTGCGTACCATCCGGGGTCTGTCCGCATCCACCTTCCCTGGTCCTGTCTTCACTGATTCTGATCTCACTTCTGAATCACATCCCAGCATCACAGAACGCCATCTTGGGGCCCCCACCCCCGCCCCTCCAGCCCTCTCAGGTTATAAATAACCCGGGACTGTTCCCGTCTCATCATCAGGCACGCAGGCACCAGGCAAAGTGCGCGGACCACTCTGCACCCTCACCCTGCTCGCCTCTCTGCCACGCTTCTCCCGGCGGCGCAGCGAAGCATGAGCCCATCTGAATCTGCTACAGGGGCTCATTTTGCTCGGCCTGTTCCTAATGCCCCGTCTCGCCTCTTAATCCCACGCTCATCCCAGCCTCACCAGTGCATTTCCTTTTCTCTGATCTATCATGTCCCTTCTTGGTGTCCTCATTTCTCAAGTGTCCTCGATCGGTGAGACCACTTGAGGGTAATAGAAGGGAGCGTGAAGCCTGCCCTCTTTGAGAGCAGTGAGGAGAGATAGGATTATGGAGCTTTTATGAAGGCTGTATCCTAAGCCAGCAGAGGCTCAGACAGAAAGAAATGCAGAAGTCAAGGGGGTACCAATGAAATGAGCGTATTTTAACAGCGACAAACAGGGTCATGATACCCTTTGACTCAGCTGTCCCTCACCTGAAAATCTCTCTTAAAGAAATATTCCAGAGTGAAATAAACCAGACACAAGGTTCAATACCATATGGTATCTCTCAGTCGAGTGAGACAAAACATAAATGAGAAGAATAAAGGATGGGGGATTTGGAGGAGGAGGGAGGGATGGGGGAGGGAAGAGGAAAAGGATTGCAAAACAGAAACAAGCTGCATTCTGAGCGCGCACCCACTCCCCAAGATGACTGTAAGCTGCACCTACTGCAAGCATGTACGTGTAACAATTTTTTTAAAAGAAAAATACCTGAAATATTCTTAAATACAGAGACAGCTCTCTGCACAACTCTGGCATCCAAGCGTTACTTAAGAGCTGCAAGAAGTTGCGGGCAGTTTAAATATTCAGTAGCCAAGAGGCAGCTGAGTGTATTAAGGCCTGTCCTTTAAATGGATTATTAGTATAATCCCGTTGAAAATAATAATTATTAAGATTGTTTAACCATATGGAAAATGCTGACAATAATGGCGGAAGTCAGGGCAGTACAACAGGCATCTGCTGAGGTTAGAGTTATGCTGGGGAGAGGGGGACTGGAAGGAAGAGGGGATGTGAAAAGATGAAGCTGAGTTATGTCCGTGTACCAGCTGCCCACGATGAGCGTGATCATTGTGTACTGCAAATATGTACTAATAAAATTTTTTAAAAAGAAAGTTGCAAGAATGATGGGATAAATGTGTTTGATGTTTTGAGGGGGATTCACAGCAATGTGTCTTTTACTGTAATAGTTTTTTTTTTTTTTTTTTTTTTTTTTTTTTTTTTTTTTTTTTTTTTTTTTTTTTTTTTTTTTTTTTTTTTGGTTTTTCTCTGGTATAGGAACCGAACTCACGACCTTGCGCTTGCCAGGCAGGCGCTTTGCCGCTGAGCTAAATCCCCAGCCCCTACTGTAATAGTTTTTAAAATTTAAAAAAAAATCTCAGAAGGAAATTTCTCCAGATCCTAATAGAACTGTTAGCACAAATGTTTCCTTTTTCATACTTCCCAGAGTGCCTGTAATGTGGTCTTCTTTCATTTATAATTTATAAAGCAGCTCTTTTTTTTTTTTTTTTTTTTGAGATAGGGTCTCTCTATGTAGCTCAGTCTGTCCTCAGACTTGCAGGATCCTCCTGCCCCAGCCTCCTGAGTGCTGGAATTACAGGCATGTGGCACCATGCCCAGTTTAAAGCACTTCACTTAAAACAAGATGAAGTGTAGTCAGGTGGGGTGGGTATTCCTAAAATGCCAGTATTTGGGAGGCTAAGGCATGATGACTGTGAATTAGAGGCCAGCCTGTACTATGAAGCAAAACCTGTCTCAAAAATAAAAAACCACGAAGGTGAAGTGTAGTGGGCTGGGGTCTAAATCCCCAATCCACTCTCAGCTCAATGGTAGAGCGCTGGCTTAGTATGCTCAAGGTTTTGGGTTCAGTCTCAGCTCCATAAAAAAAAAAATGTGAACATTTATAGACAAAATAATGAAGTGGGAGGATGTAGTGTGTAATCCTTTCCCTGAGAGCTTCCTTAGCAGACCCCCTCCCAGGGTGCCTCATCGGATCCATTCCCCAGGTGAACCAGAGGATCACTGAGATGGACTCGAGTCCTGACCCACTGGCCAACAGCCTGGTGAGTTACAGGTGCTGGGGCTGAGACAAGGCTTCTGGGAAGGAAAGGCCTCTGACCATCAGGGTGTGGCCATACTTGGGGGTGGGGTATCCATTCATTGGCAAGCATATTTGCACAGCTAAGGTTTCTAAGGTTTGCAGTTGTTTTTTTTTTTTTTTTCAAAGTGGACAGCTCTTTTTCCCCCTTACCACTTTGCCTTCTGACCAGCAATGAATGAGAGTTCCTTTTGCTCCCTGTCCTCACTGGCATTTGGTGTTGGTGTTACAGATTTTGGCTCTTCTACTATTTATGGAATGCAATCTTGTTATTTTAATTTACATTTCTCTGAGGCTGTGTGATTTGGAGCATCTATCTACATGCTTATTTACCGTCTGAATGTCTTCTATGGTAAGGTATCAGTTATGGTCTTGGATCTATTTTTTTTTTTTTTTTTTTTTTTTGAGACAGGGTAGCACTATGTAGGCCAGGCTGGCCTCAAACTCTTGGTGATCCTCCTGCCTTAGCCTGCCAAGTACTGGGATTACAGGCATACATCACCTTGCCCAGCTCCCCATTTTTTAATTGGGTTGTTTTCTTACTGCTAAGTTGTAAGAGTTCTTTGTATATTTTGCATAACAGACCTTTGCTGGTGATATCTTTTGCAAATTTTTTCTCCCAGTTTATTGGTTGTCTTCATTGCCTTGAGAGTGTCTTTGGCATAGTGGAAACTTTTTATTTTAATGAAATGCAGCTTCTCAAGTCCTTCTCTCATGGACTGTGCTTCTATGTCATATCTAAAAAGTCATCAAAAATCCCAAGGTCATCTATGTCTTCTCTTATGCTATTTTCTGGGCCTTTTATAATTTAGCATTTTATTTTTTGGTTTGTTTGTTTTGTTGTTTTATTTTGTTTCTTGAGACAGGGTTTTGCTACGCAGTTCAGGCTGGACTTGAGCTCACTTTGTAGCCCAGGCTGGTCTCGAACTCACAAGGATCCTCCTGCCTCAGCCTCCTGAGTGCTGGGATTACAGGTGTGTGCCACCACACTTGGCTGTTTTGTTTTAAGACAGGGTAGTTCAGACTGCCCTTGGACTCACGATGCAGTCCCAGATGGCCTTGAACTCGTGGTGATCCTCCTACCTCAGCCACCCCGAGTGCTGGGATTACAGGCATGCACCACCACACCCAGCCCCCATTTTACATTTAGGACTGTGATCCTTTTGAATAAATTTTTTGATCCCGGAACCTCCAGCAATTCATCAGTGATAGTTTAGTTTTTCCTGCTGGTTCCTGTGGAGGCGTCTGTTCAAGTGAGTTGTGATTTTCTGTATCTACTTGTCTCTCCCATTTATTGTTATAAAACAATATCTATGGTATGACCCTGGTTATAATAATAGAAACAGAGAGAGACAGACAGACAAAGAATGATCCAGAAACATCCTGGAGGACACATGCCATGTGGATAGCAATGGCTAGTCCTAGGAGGAGCATGGGGAAGGTGACTTTCACCTCTTACTTATATGCTTATGGACGGTTTGAATATTTTACAATAAGCATGCATCACCCTGTATTTAACACTTTTAAATCAAACAAAAAGACTGACTTTAACAGCTGAACAGACCCCAAAAGTCAGTCCTGGGAAAGTGGTGGTGAATGGGAAGCTGATACTGTGAAGGCAAATCAGGAGGTCAGAACCCTGGGGCAGAGGAACTTGGTAGAAAACAAGACACCAGGTGGGAAGGGTGAGGGTGCTTAGGGGCATGAACTGGCAGGAGGAGGAGGAAGAGGAGAAGCGGGTGGAGGAGGAGAGGGTCAGAGGAGGGGAGGGGAGGGAAAAGGAAGGGAGGGGTGCTGCCGAAGCATTTGCAAGCATTTCTGCACAGTAGAGACCTAGGTAGAAAATTTTAAATTTTGATACATGTACTGTAATCAAATAGCTTTTCATTCAGGTGAAGCTGTTCTTTACTGCTGCATGAGAAAGACCACTACCCTGCCATCAAATACAGAATTAAGTTACAGGTAGAAGAATTAAAATTAAGTTATTAAGGGGGCAGTAATTTGCCCTATGACTTCAGTTCTCCAAAAGATCTAAGATAAGTTGTTTCAGTTTCTTCTGCCTTTTAGTTTTTAGGACAGAATTCTGGCTCTGAGCTCTTTATATGTTTGGCCACAAACTAGAATTCTGAAGGTTAATTTTGATTCACTATTTGGGGGCAATATTGGGAATTAAACCCAGGGCTTGGCACTGAACTACAACCCTAGCCCTTTTTTATTTTTTATTTTGAGGGAGGGTCTCATTAAGTCACTAAATTGCCCAAGCTGGGCTTGAACTTGTGATCCTCCTGTCTCAGCCTCCTAGAGTGCTGGGATTGCAAGTGTGTTCTGCCACACCTAGCTTTATTTTAGAAAATATAGAATAAGACCCCCAACAATTCCACCTTCCCCCCCTCCTCCCCTCCCCCTTCTGCCTTCCCCTTCTTCCTCTCCTCCCCTTCTTCCTCCCCTCCCCCTCTTCTTCCCCTCCCCCTCCTCCCCCTCCTTTCTCTCTCTCTCTCTTGCAAAGGCTTGTGAGAAGCAGCAGTTCTGAGGAGTGGGTAAGAGGCACTTGTGTGGCATGGCTCCTGAGAGATGGCAGAACACTCCGTCTTTTTGGCTATCTTTGGTTTTGGCACCAAGATATATTTGGGTTTTTATTTTTGTTTTAAAAAACTGTCCTTAAGATATCTGAGGCATAAATCTAAAAATCTCCTAGACGAGTATATTTGAAATTGTGAGCAGCACAGCAAGGTTGCCTGAGAAGCCACTGCCGAGGACACATGGTAAGGGGTATGTTGCTGTCAGTTCCCGCTGTGCCCGGTGAGTCCCCCGCCCCCCTTGTGCATGGCAGCTGTGAGGGGGAGGATTACAGTGATGAAGCGTTGCCCCTCGGGGATCCTGTGTGCTGTGGGCCAGCTCCTGCCCAAAACTGCATCCCTCCATCCCGGAGGTCACGCCCTGGCCATCTAGGCCCAAGTCCAGGCCGCCTATTTCCGCTGGTCTGCGCCTGTCACCTTCTTGTCTGCATTACGGTTGTGGCCACTGGAGCAGGAGACCTCGGCTTGATTTATCAGGTCACCAGCTCTCTGTTCTCCCCCGTTATGATAGGTCTTGCGTTTGGCCTCTTTCACTCCTGTGTCACCATACAATGTCCCCAGACACAGCGAGAGGGACTCATGAGATAAACCTCAGCCCATGTTTCCCGGCTCTCCCAGCCCTCCAGTCTGGGCTCGCTTCAGCAGCACCCCTCCCTTCCTTTTCCCTCCCCTCCCCTCCTCTGACCCTCTCCTCCTCC